GCTAAAACGAGTCTGTAACGCAACACACGCGACAATTCGATCACATTTTGTTTTTCCCGTAAATAAACAATCAATGCGTCCATTAAAGCCGCAGACTACCTACTCCACAATATTGATTAACTGTAAATAGCTGCCGTATGCAACGTATTCATTATGTGACTCACTCTAATTCCAAATATTCGCGTCGACTGTCGGAAATTTTCTTTACAAGAAAAATGTGTCATTAGCAGCTGTAACGCAATCAATTTGTCTTGGGAAACTTTATGAAATCGAAATACGAACACGATAAAACAATTTGGCACAAAACGATGCCTTACATAACGAGAGAGCTTTAAATTAAAAAGCAAATATTACAATACATTTTTGTGGCACATCAAAAAAGTTGGAACTAAGCACCACAAATCACAAAAAAATTCATTAAATACACTTCTTAGGCATTGGGGACGTTTTCTCGAGGAAATTGATGCTTGATTTTGTTTTTTACGTGTTATTTTCGCCAACGCCAACCATGGAACGTAAAAAACTCGCGCAATTATAATTAAATTATTTTCAATTAGCAATTGGTGCTTTCATTTGCCCTGACGTGTAATTACCTAAACTCTGTTCAGCGAGATCTGTATAGATAAAGTTAAATCGCACTATTGCATGTTCGTTTCTTGAATTTCTGAAAATGTAAACTTTTACCGTTTTTTTCAACTTACTTTTACTTGATTTGAAATAAAATTAAATTAGTGATTAATTATCCATGCGTTGTTCCATTTTGTACTCGGTACATCCTGTACTCGATCCTATATATTCCGATTAGATCAATTAACTTTTCCTCCTTGAATGACGTAATAATGACATGTATACTCAACTAAAACATAATGGCAACGTTGCCAATCTCGTTGCCAATATTTATATTAAGGGAAACTGGATTACTGAGAATTTTGGAGGAACTGGAGCGGAACTTGAGAAAAGCTTCGGGAAAAGCTTAAGGAATAACAAGTTACGAAGAAACTGAGAGAAGCTTAGGAGGGATATGAAGCCTGTGTGAAAATGCCCCCTCCCCCTAATTTTTGGAAGCAAAAAATGTCGTTATTGAAATGGATGGCGCTGGTTTTTCAGTTATTTCAAATACAAAATTCCATACTGCCCCCCTCCCATTTTTCAAATTTGACGTTTTTTTAAGGATCGCTTGCGCCCCCAATGCCTTCGTTTGCGCCCGCGGCCATTTCAAGTTATTCCAAATCCAAAATTCCATACTTCCCCCCTCCATTTTTCAAATTTGACGTTTTCGAGTCATCATTTGAGCTTGGTTTGCGCCCCGAATACCTCCGTTTGCACCCTCGCCGTTTTTCATTTATTCCAAATATAAAATCCTATCCTGTCGAATGCTTTTGTTTCCACCCAGGGCGATTTCCAGTTATTCCAAATACAAAATTCTATACTGCCCCTCCCTCGGCCCCTCCCCATTTTTCAAAACGTTTGTTCTAGTCCCCGTTTGCACTTGGTTTGCGCCTCGAATAAACTTTGTTTGCGCCCCCGCCGTTTTTCATTTATTCCAAATACAAAATTCCATACCGTCGTTTAATCATTTAGTCATAGTTACCGTTGATTGACTTTTCGGTACATTGACGTACACTGCTGATAACATACTTCTTAGATTCCTTCAGAACTAATTGCCCCCCCCCCCTTGTTATGCACGTTTGGTAATTAAAAAAAATTTCTTCATTACCCGCAATTTTAAGGGCGGTCGCCATCTTGAATTTTTGAAAATATCAAAATGGATTATTTAAATTTCTGTTTCATTCCGAAAATCAATATCTCGAACCATTGAGCGCCCCTACCGCCCCCCCCCCCCCGCTTGTAATCATCCAGTGCCCACTGGGCAGGCGGTACCACCCCCTTTGGGAACCTATGGTTTATAGTATAACGCATGCATATGTAAATGTACCCTCGAATGTACCTAGGTAGTATAGGCAGATGCATAGTGCCGTGTGTTCTATTTTGGCTGAGATGCAGTGTGTCTCAGCTGTTTTTAATGATAGAGACTTGTGGTTTGCGCGACGGGGATGTTATCTTATCTTACTACCCATGTAAGATAGAAAAAAAAGTAAACACTGTTGATTTTAGATATTTTTATGTAGAATCCATGGCGTAGTTAAAAAAATTTTTGGACCGTTTCTGAAAATTTACCAAATATTGGTATTTTTTAAATGCAACACCCTATAAATTTTAACGTTAATTTTTTGCAATCGTTTCCCTATTTACATTGATGTATCACAACCCATATTTTTTGTGTATATCTTATCACATTTTTCAAAATTTTGAAATGGCATGTTTCTATACTACCACCAGCCCTCGCACCAGCCATTTATTGATTGGTATCGGCTGCTATGGATACAATAAACAAAACAAAATCTCTATAAATCCATGGCCTACTATGTATTTAAAAACCCTAAAAAAATAAGGTTTTTATTTCTGGTTCATGGCTAAAATTTAAAAAATATACGTTGTGATACAGCAATCTCGACAGCAATGTAATCAATAAAAATAATGCAAAACGTTTACGTTAAGATATACAGGGTGTTGTATTTTACCAACTTTGGATCAAATCTCAACAACGGTGGAAAAATAAACCGTTTTTACCCTTTACCCGCAGAAATGGAGGGTAACATTTTTTTACTACGCCACTGGATTCTACGTAAAAATATTTAAAATAAACAATGGTGCATTAAATATTTTTGTAATGTATTTTATGTAAAATAATATACTCGTTTTGTAATAAAAAAACATAAACCGTTTATACTCTTTTCTATCTTACATGGGTACCTAGTAAAATATAACATTTCAAAAAGTCAAACTTTCCATTTTCACCCTGTATCTCTGAAACAAACGTAGCTAGACTGATTCTGTTTGTGGTATTAAAAGTTTCACCAAAAAAAATGGCACAGGGTCGCGAAAACCACAAGCCTCTATCATTAAAAACAGCTGGAATACACTGTAGTCTCAACCAAAATAGGACACACGGTACATACACTAGTAATCAAAACTTTCGAACGTAATCGCATCTTAGCGCTAGACCGCCCCAACGTTAAGGTGAAATGGCGCCCCTGATTGTGACACTATATCGAATATAAAAAGTATTACTTAATTTAAAGAATTTGAGAAGAATTTTATAAACGTTTTAGGAAAAATGAGAGAGCATGAGAAGAACTTGGTGCAAGGAAAAATGTTTCAATTGATAGCGTGATCTAGATTACAATTGTGAACCATAAGCAATTGTGGCTTTTTAGGGGAATTTTTCGAAAAAAAAAGTCCGTCTGTTCCTCGTCTAACTCGAGAACGAAAAGAGATAGGTACCGATGTCAAAACTTCGCGAATCGATGAGTTCAAGGATCAGTGCGAGGATCAGTGCTATTGAATATGAGCCGGATCAAAAGTCGGGTTTCAGAATACGAGCTGAGGGGCAAAAAATTCCCCTACTGAAAATCGTATATTGTTTACAGTTTGTACCATATTAGTAGTTTTAATAAGTTATTGTCTCGGTTATTGTTCCTTTATCTGAATTTTTCACGAAGGATATTTAGTATTTTTCCGAGTAATTTTCCTTGCATGTTTAATTTAATTAAACATTTTTTATTTAGAATGTTCTTTGAAAATACGTAAAAATATACAAGCTATTTACTTAATGAATGTTCCGATATTCTATTCATTTTTATAGTTTAGGTAATGAAGTTTTTCTTTTTCTTGGCATTGTACATTAACATCTTTTACATAAACTTTAAATACTCGCGAGCGCGACTTTCCATGTGACGTGAGTATTGTGTTCTCTCCAACCCTCAGAGGTACGGGCAGATGGACGGAATTCCTTCAGGTATGTCCCTATATCTACAGTCACAAAACAAACTATCGAGTGGAACAAAAGATAATCTTGCAAAACTATATAAACTGGGAAATATCCAAAACGTGATCATAGGAAGATATTTGAGCCGTAGTGGCAGTAAATCTAAAAATCGACAAACATAGCACTAACCAAGACACCTTGTGCCATTATTTTATTTTCTGCTAACTTCACGTGCCTCCAGAGTGAATCTCAAAATACAACCAACAACAAATATCTTCATTTAAAGACCAAAGTCCAAAATGCAACTTTTGGATGTGAATTTGATGACTTTAGTAAACAATAACTACTGTGGTCTTTGTTTTGATTGTCACCTTTGTTTACGCATACTTGATCGCTTATAAATGGCACAAAGTACAAAGGAAAAGCAGATCCTTTTCTATATTTGCATACCTACCATTTAAAGCTATTGCGCAAAATGAAAAACGTCATTATAGGGAATATCAAACTGTGTTGGCAATGAAGGTTAATTGAAAATGAGTCATGAAATGGAAGATTTTCTTTTCGTGGGTAGGTACCAAAATGCGAACTGGAAAGCAGGCACAATCAGAGTAGTAGCTGGAAGTCTTTCTTTATAGCACAAAAAATAGGAAATGTGCCCATTAATATTTTACGCAATATGCAATAATCCTTGAAGTATCTACTTATGTAGTTAAATATTTTGCATAATACTACAGAAAGGTCACCCCAACAATATACGCGATTTCTATCCTGAAAATGATATCCCCTGATTGTAGATTGATTAACTCCGACCCTGGTCAATTTTCTTTACACTTTCTCGACACGCTCATAAAATCGACTTTTACTTCTCAATTAGAAAGGAAATACTTTACGATTATGCAGGTTTTTTTTTCGGTATTTTTTATTTTAATACTTTAAAGGCATTACCCCCTAAACAAAAGAATTATAAGTAAATCAGCCACCTTTGTCACATTATTTCAGGTGAGCGAAAACAATCGACTGTTTTGGCGAATCATATGGTACAAATAGAAAACATATGATCAGGACATCAAACTGTGATTAACATTATTTATAGAATAACAGACAAAATGGCACCCAGATAAAAGCTGTTCGGTCTATATTTGGGAAAACGAAGCGAATTTCGTCGTCTTACCTTAATGATTCTCCTCGATTTTCACCAAAATGCGCCACTGCTATAAAACTCCTCCAATTACAGAATAATAAATATCCCTTTGATACATAATGACGGTAAAATAATTAGTTTTCTTGAAGACAATGTAAACGCAAATCGGCGAGTACACCTTCACCTCTCGAGCACACTCGTCAAACTAATCAGCTGTTTTCGTTTGTTGTTTCAGCAGGTCGGCCGTCCTTGTCTGTTTATGACGGAGTAGGGATTTATACGCTGCTGCGAACAGTGGCGCACGCATGACCACTTGAAGATCGCGCACGAGGACGTCACGATCTATTTTTGTACCTTCATCGACTTACATAATTGCATTTTTATTCGAAAAGGTAGGAGAATTTCTAATTGATTATGTTACCTTTTTACAAACGTACCGAGCGATATACGCAGTGGCGTGCGAAAAGTAAAGGAATCTGTAAATTAAATCGCGGCAACTTTAAACTTCATATATAAGAACACGGATCTTTTGTCACCCGCAAAGTGCACACCATCTCCCGTACCATATTTTGGTAATAATTCCATTTGAACCACCTACGAATGCAATGTTACCTAACTTAAGTACATACAAGGGAATTAGTTTCAAAGTAAGTTTTTATAAAGGCTACACAAGACAAAGAGTGTCTTCGCCAATGATTAACTACCAGAGTTTCCATGCCGTGTTCCAAGAACAACAGCGGTTGCTATTGATTTGATTTTAACCTTCCTCAAGGACCCTACAATAACTTTCCCAACCAAAAAGAAACTTGGTACCAAATAACAAATATTCAAAGAATATTCCTGAAAAATTCTACTTTACAACACCTTTACCACGAAAAAAATGAAAATTGCATCCATTGCAAATGATAAGGGAACTTCCAGGGGGCTACCAAAGAAAGGGGAGTTTTTATTTAACATGCATGGTAAACAATGCGATCAAAGATTTGTTTCACCTCACGAAATGTCAGAGTCGTTGTATGGAGGCGCTGGAGTGCAATATTCGCTACTCGCCTATACAACATTTTTCTGTTTAACATTTTACTTCCCATAATAAGGCAGCATTCAGTTGTTTTTATTTCAGAAAACAAATGAGTAAAGAAAAACAATTGAACTTTTTTAAATGGCAGTGCACCTTTTCATTAGGCTCATTTGATAGAGATTTTTTTTCTCTTTTCGAAGGTATAACATGAACCATTACTCAACAAGATTTTTTTAAAAAATGTATTATAGATCAAAAAAATTAATCCAGATACCCTACATGAAAATAAAACAAATGAACGTGTACTTTGAGAGGTTCCACCCTGTATATACAGCTTACGACGATACATACCTTTTTGAGAGTTGGCAACCATGCAATTTCTAGGTGGGAAAATAGCTGCCTGCGCCATCTAGAAAGCACGAACAGGAGTTACGTTTGGCATCTTGTTTTGAATGGCGGTCGTGAACGCGTCGCTCCATAAATGTTTGTTGTTATTTTGTGTTATTTAATGCAGGTAGTAATTTTTGCACATTTCTTTATATCGTACGTATTTGTGTTTTGTTTGCAGCATTTTATATTTTTTGTGTGTTTCAATATTTGTTTTTTTAATTTACTTGGTTTAACCGCAATGCAATCATATGTGGGATACCGTTATGCTATTGTTTGTAATTGTTTACATTTTTGGTGTAATTAATGTTTATTGATGTTGATTACTTGGTCTTGTCCCTGAAGTTTTCATCATTTTATTTTAATATGTGGAAATTACCGATTCGTTTAATGCATGTACTGACTTGTTGTTTGTTACTAACAATTTTCTCCGTGAATGAAGCAGTCACGAGGGTGAAAAAAAACTGTAGTCAATTTGTGTTACGACACCTAATTCCGTGATTGTCTTCGACATCCAACTGTAGGTTCGAAACTCCGAAACCAGGGGCGGACTACCCATCTTGCAGGAGCGAGATTACGCTAATCAAAGCTCTTCAGTTTAGAATCTATGTGCGATAAATGAGTGGCCAGTGGCGATTCAATAATTTCCACATATCTTCGTTTTTAGTCAAATTTGCCTACAAGGCCATGTAATTTTCCATCTTGCTTTCAACAAAAGGACTTTATTGCACCAAAGATGAGTCACATCCTGTGTATTTCACCCTTTCTCAGAATCTTGGTACCTGCTACTACCTGACCCATTGTCCCCAAAAACTTGCTTTTAACCTTGAGTGTAACCAACATTGTGTATATGCATTTACTATCTTTGTTAACTACTGCTTAAACTTTTACAAAATATTTTGTTAATTAACTTTTGAACTGTTTTAATCAAACTGCAAGGTTTTTCTTCGTCGTACTCTTTTTACCCTTGGCAGTGACTTTCGCGAGAATACGACACCTTTTGGCTTTGTTTGTTTTGTTTAATGTACATCAACTAAATTTCCGGGCTTTCACAATCATAATAATTACGATCATTATTAAACAAACTTTTCACAATTTCAGTGTTTTATTTAACGTTCCTTCCCTATTGTGCTTCAGGTCAAAGCGTTGTCTACAACTAACGTAAGGGGGCCCTGCCTTAGATGATTTATCACGTGCCACTTTTCAAATTTAAGCGGGTTCTTGTATAGTTTCGGAGGGAATAGTCATTCGGGTGGCCATTTTTAAACGTTGCCGGGTTGAGTTTATTTCCGTGTTCCTGTAGTGTGAAGTTAGCGTAGAACCTGGGGGTTAAGTACACTACAACGTTTCTCATTAAACCTTGAATCTATCTATCAACCTCTATCAAATGAGCCTAATGCTATTGCTATTTAACAAAATTCAATTGTTTTTCGTTATTCATTTGTTGTAAAACCAATGAAATGCTGCCTTATTATCGGAAATAAAATGTTAAACAACTTTCATATAGAAAAAATTTGTATAGTCGATATTTACCGAGATACATACTATATTCCATACATAATGGACACCCTGTATATACAACGGTACTGGTGAATGCGACTATTTTCAAAACGTATGATTCTCAAATAACCTCAAAAATCACTGCAAATTTGGAAATTTCCTCAAAAATTAAATCACGTAAGTGAAGTTCATTTTTACCTTTTGATTAATCAACAATCAATTCGTGCAGGTACTCATTTTTTTAATTATAAACTTATTTACGCAAATTCACGTGGGTTCAATATATTTCAGAATGAGCGGTAGAGAAGGCGGTAAAAAGAAACCTTTAAAACAACCAAAAAAAGCAGATAAGGAAATAGACGAGGAAGACATGGCCCATAAACAGAAAATGAAGGATCAGGCGAAAGCAATGGCCGATGCCAAGGCAAAAGCGGGACAAAAGGGTCCTCTGGTTACGGGCGGTATCAAAAAATCAGGGAAAAAGTAAAATAATTAACAGTGTGACATAATTTTTTAATAATTCAGTGCTAACAAGTAAAATATTTGTAACGAGTTTTTATTTATTTTCACTCATTCCACCCTTGTTAAATGTAGCGAAATAAAAAGTGCAACCTACTTTCCTAAAAGTAAATGTCAAATGGGAAGACAAATTTCATTTATTTACAACTTAAAAAATCTCGTGGTAGAAGTGGCACATTTAAGGCTTTAAAGAACTAAAATGTAATAACTTTGGTCAACAAAGGTTAAAAAGAACTAAACTAATGCATTTCATTTAAACAGAATTTTCTCTTGGCGAATTAAAAGTAGTAGGCATACGTAAGGTCAGTTTTGTACATCTTTATTACTATCACTGGACACGAGTTCCGGTTTCTTACAGACAAAGAAAACACTGTTATATTCATATTGCAACATTGACATTGGATTCTGGCAATACCTCGCTTTAACTCCAGTTTGACTTTTCTCCATTACGAAACCGACTTTTTGGATTACTTCGCACAAAACTTGAAAACTAGGTTCGATACTTTTCTCGTACTTTATATCGGAATAGTGGTATAACAACGGTCCCAGGTTAATCCATATACCGCCCGGTTTCAAAATGTGATAGATAAGTTCGATAAATTGCACAACATTGGCGGCGCAATCAATAAAAAAGCATGTCGCGACACAATCCCACTCGTCAGGATTCGTGTACACCTCCAGGAAATCGCCGGCGGTCATCGAAAATTTACTTTCCGGTGTCGGCATCGGGCGAACATCAGGAAATCTAAATGATACATTTTTAAACTGATCAAAAATTCGAGGAGAACTTACGTTACACTTGTCATTTGTTGTTCTGCAGTCAAATTATTACAGTACTGATGAATCCAAGGATAAATTGTGAACTCATCGACTTTCTTGCACAAATTTAAAACGTAAAACGAAACGATTAACATAAATAGATTAAATTCATTGCCCTGACAAGAGTATCCTCTTGTGGCAATTTCGAATGCCAACCTACCAAGCCCGGCTCCTGGCACGAGAACATTTACTTCACTAAGAGTGTACTTGTCCGAAGGAAAATAAAGCTCCACCTCTTCGATTATAGGATTGTAGCATTGTTCTCGTTCAGCCGCACCTAATGCGCTCCAATCGCGCATGAGCTGTTTGAATACCGACTGAACTTTATCCAGGCCTTCCGAAAGAGTGCCCACGTCTGTTTCGGAATGAGACGAACTATCATTGCAAAGAACGTTATCGAAGATTGTGTAGGCGTGTTGTACAATGATGGGGATAAATTCGGCATTTTTATATACACAACGCTTAAACGCGTCCAAATCTTCTTTGTACCTCGTTAGCCAGGACCGATGATCTGTAGGTAGTGATTGCAAACATTTTTCTCTGCGGTTGATTCGTATTATCGACTGTTCTCTAATACAAAAATGGATTAATTGGGAGCAAATTTGAAAGAGGCGCTTACTCGTAGCTTTCAAACGTCGATAGAACAGATAAGAAGTACCTTCTTTCTTCACTCGTATTATCTCCATTAGTTTGACTATACATTTTTTAAACTAAATTGATTAAAGCTAATAATTGTTATCACAAAATTCTAAAGTAAAAAATTTAACTGGGACAAACATAACCTACAATTAAGTGATTGGATTGCCGACTATTGCAATTGTCGTGGCTCCACTACCGCTACATCTACAGAGTGATCGCAAAACGGCGTAAATTCCAGATTCCGTTCTACCGTGAAAAGGTGCAATTGCTCTATTTATTACTACTTAATGATACTTAGATTTATTTATTTTAAATTTATTTTGTTGTAAAAAGTATGATAACCTTTAAAACTTTTCACGAGTCTCGAAAGGATTTCAAGTGTTTCCGAGGAGCTTGAGCTTTATATAGACTTTGAGAGCATTAAGGCCGTTGAAGGCACTTAACAGTTTTTAAAAATGCTTAAGACGGTTGAATAGTGTATAAAAAAATGGCTTTAGCCTTTAAGATTGTTAAGGTTAAGGGTATCTAAGAGCTTTTATTTTTATAAAATGCCCCGAAAGCACCAAACACGCCGCAAAATTTGTGTTGTAATGTATGCAAGGCGAGGAGCTTGAGCTTTATATAGACTTTGAGAGCATTAAGGCCGTTGAAGGCACTTAACAGTTTTTAAAAATGCTTAAGACGGTTGAATAGTGTATAAAAAAATGGCTTTAGCCTTTAAGATTGTTAAGGTTAAGGGTATCTAAGAGCTTTTATTTTTGTAAAATGCCCCGAAAGCACCAAACACGCCGCAAAATTTGTGTTGTAATGTATGCAAGGCGCGTTTGGTTTGTTCGGGACATTTTGTTGCAAATGAATACGTACAATACGTATAATTCTGTGAAAAGTGTGTTGTTTTCCATTTATCTCATCTATACGGGCGGTTTCCGACCAACAAAACTCGGATTATTACAACAAAATAGTGAGTACTTTTCAGCCTTGTTTTTTTTCTGTGTTCGATCTTTAGCAACAAGGTGAGATGTTAGCCTTCAGATTATTTGCTCGTTTTGTGGAAATGTTTATTTAATTTTGTATGTCGTTGTGTTATTATAAAGCGTGTGGTAAATTCAAATTTCTCTTGTATCGGGTTAATCGTTCAAGTGTTTCTTTTAGTGTTATTTCATTTGAGTTACGGATTTCCAAAACTTCAACTTTTGGATAAGTTAGTGTTGAGATTTTCCAGCGCGTCGGAATCCAGCTGGACCCTGAGATTAAAATTTTTCTTTAGTAATTAAAGATAAAGTTTACAGGAAGATGAGGGTTTGTTACGCGGTTTAATTGGTGTAAATTTGAGGTAGATAGGTAAGTATCATTTGAGTGGCGTAATGAATTCATGCCATTGCACACAGCATTAATTTTGGCGCCCAACGTGGAGCACGGCGTTTATTTTTTATGCGCCCGAAGGAATGAACCAATAACAACTACTTTAAGAAATGTTTCCTACACGAACAGAATCAAATTTTAAGAACAACAATATAAAACGGATTCCCTCCCACAAAACGCACCTTATCTACTATACCTGCAGAAAGGAGAAAACCGAAAAATACCAGTTCTTTGGTAGTGATATTACTGTACCGACCGGACCCGGTCACATTTTAAATCATTATCAAAGTCCATGTCAAGATGTTAGACTGGATTTATGCTTAGTGACGAAAGCGCACTGGGTACATTTTAAATCCTTGGTGATATTGATATTGTATGTTAATAAATGTGTATTATTTGAATTCAATTAACGGAAGGTGGAAACTGCCGTAATTAAGTTACTTTTTCATTCAGTAAAATGAAATGAATGTAAATTTAATTATCAAATCAGTGTTAAACTGCATTTATTATGTTTCTAATTTAAATTAAATAAAAAGAAATATTAGCTTCCTCCAAAGATTTAAAGTCATTAAATATAGAAAGTACCGCAATCCATTGGGCTCGTGTGTTAGAGAGAGAACGCATGATTTTTGCCCAAAAATGGCGGAAGTTACCAGATTCTAGTAACTTTAATGTTAGGGATTGTTCCACCTGTTTGGAGATATCTGTATATATTTTTATCATTGAACTATATACTCTGTAACTGGAACGGCATCGAGCGCCAAAATCGCGTGCCGCAATGATTTTAGGCAACCAGCATAACGTAGGTATTCTCATCCCTGTCTGGCACGTTGTTTTGTATTGCATATGCAGGAGCGATCACACGTATTTGGTTAAAAATACAGATAAGTAAATGAACTGGGAGGTTGGGGCCTTAGAAAGATAAAGATAAATGCTTGTACATGCTTTTATAAGTGCCAATATCTATTTGTTAATGGAATATCTTAAAATATATACTTAATAATGTGGTAAACTGCGCCATTTCTCACTCACACACTCACATACTTGATTCTTGAAGTTACAAATTAAAAATTAAATTAAAATTGGCAATGGCTGATTACGGGCGATGCCGTTCCAGTTACAGAGTATATAGTTCAATGTATTTTTATAAAACATGACAGTACTATGAAGTTAGGTTATAAAAAATGACAGGTATTCAGATTTTAATTGTCAATTTTTTTAAGTTGGCAGCAAATTTGCCCAAAAATGGCGGATGATTGCGGTACTTTCTATCATATATAATATATGCTTTCTATATCTAGTGACGTAATTCAAAGATTATTACATCCGCGCCATCTAGGTTGTATAGGCGTATTTATTTTCTCGCCTAGCCAGAAAAAGGAAATTTTCTCTCCTTACACCTGCAATTATCTTCCCTGATCCCTACCTTTACACCAATTGTGTCTTGTGTACCAAGTTTTTGTAATTCTACATGCAAACAATTTACAAATGGCGGTAATGAATGTGTTTACGGTTCAAATTTTTGTCGAGTTACTAAGAAGTTAAAAACATTGACTACATATCTGATGGTAGTGACATCTACGTTTTACAATCGAAAACCATCACAATTCGACAGTCATAACTCATAAATTCCAAGCCTAGTTCAGTCCTCCATTCAATGCCGTGTGTCGCCACAATAACAACACGGCCTTTTTAAATCAATTTAATTCGTTTCGGAATTTATTCTCTGAAAAATTTTGGCCGAGATTCCAATTAATTGCACTTCGACCGAGTAGTAAATTTAGTACAACTCGAATAAATATAAAAAGTAGTTTATATTAGAAAACTGGGAGACCCTGTCCTATTTGGAACTCCCCTCTCCAAGCTCCGCCACTGCGTACAACAGCTGATAGGGAGTCCCAGTCTAAGTTGAAAGTGATGTAATCTTCAAAGAAAATTACAATTCGGGATGAAATTCTTTGCTTTTAACATTTAACAGAGTTTTTCCTTGAGGAAAATTTCCGTGAAAGTTGAGAGAGCGCCACAACCTCGTGTATTCGTGCGCGCTTCGTTTCGGCGCCTTCCACTTTTCCGTTATCTCGTCGTGCTGTTCCAGGTCTGGGTCTGTGCATTCTCGCATTTCAACGCGAAGCTTCACAGTCGTTCGTTAATGTCTAGTTCAAGTCGTGTCAGAATTTCCCATTAACAACGTGCTCCACTTCAGTCGGTTAAAATGAAGTTGACGCCTAAAAATTACAAGAATTACGCAAAACTCCTGGACGCCTATTCCCAGTTCAGCCCTTCGCCGCTCTCCATAAAGAAGTTCATTGATTTTGGTAAGTGTGGGTAGATGTAATTAGTGTCGGCAGATCATTAAAATAAAATCATACAGGAAGCTATTGCTATTATGAGCAGAGATATCGTTGTCTGATCCAATGAATAAAACAATCGCGTAGAACGTTAACTGGTTATGATTATTATGTTGTTAAATGACCTTATTTTTATTATTCACTTGCATGTACATGTTAAGTGTTCAAATGAATTTTTTACGTTTAAGTACTTATGTTAGGTACATTTTTCGGTATTTTTTACTTAAAAAATGTCCCCATACTCGCTTCTTGCACTAATTTTTTCTAGAATTTTAGAAAACTTTACAAGTTATAACGAGGGAAAAAACTTTCTGGTTGATATGTTCGTGTTTGTAAAATTTTTTTGAATTTTGGAATTTAATTTTTTTAAATTTTTTTGAAATTGTTTATTTTTTTGAGTTTTTATACATAGATACCCTTATACTCTGCTCTGTATTGAACTGTACTGATATTTGGAATAAAAAAAACACTTTTAAATCCAAATTAACTATCCTAGCTCTATTGAGATACTCATCAAATTTCTTTAAATCTGTTATAAGTTTACTTCTTTTTTTTAAATGTGCAGATAATTAAATATTTTGCAAAAGCAATTTCGATATGTAATCGATGACAGGTTTGTTGTTGGTTCAGAAAAATTTGTTGTTGGGTTCAGAAAAATTTAATTAGATAATTAGTCGATTAATAATATAGTGCAACATTTGTTTTTTTAATATAATTATGTGTTTTGAAAATCTGCTAAAATGTTATAATTTTTTGAAGAATAATCTTCTGTCATTTTAGAAACATTCTTTGGATTTCGAAACATGACAAACCTTTTCTTCGGCCTTATTGTTATACGTATTCCTGCGTGGAAAACATTTGGGAATCTTCTTTCTTTTCTCCAAAGTACACGTATTTTCTTAAAAACGCTGTTTGAATGCTTTTTCCAAAAATTCTAATAGGTTCTGTCAGAAATCTTTTTGGCCCGTCTTAGAAACCCCCTTAAAGATTGTCTTAGGGGCTTTCTACCTTGATGGGAACCGAGGGGTATTTCAATGGGCAAACTTTTGTACACGGACTGCCGAAATTATTTTCTGAAACAAGTAACGCCCTTTATCCCACTTTCGTCCAAAGCTTTAAAACAATGGGAGGATCCCTCTCGGATCCCTGGATTGATTTCGGACTCGAACATAATTTTAGGTTGTAGTGAAACTCCGCCCACTTAAGAGGTTAAAATAGTAGTTATTTATTATACAAATACGATAAAGGGGTATTTTAACCATTGAGAGAAAGACTTTCACGAGATGTTAGTTTCCCTTTATTGTCGTGTATAATATAAAACTTTAAGAAGCTATATGAATCATTGTAAAGCTTAATTTAATTTAGAGGTCGCGGTCGTTTCCATAGGAACAGGATTGTATTATGTTCTGAACTTCATTTTACCTCGTACTCCGCGTCCCATTTGAAATAATAACGATAGTCGTTGCTTTTATTGAGATTAAAACCGTTTACAGCAGTTATCTTCATAAACATCAGGGAGAATGATACGAGTGTGTAATTACTAAGACATAATATGTCGCAAAGTAGACTCTCGTTAATACGAACTCAAAAAATTCCAGAGGGTTCATGTTTTAGAGATTGTTCGTTCACACTACCGAAGGCATATAAAATATTTACTTTTATAATATAACGGGCGATCAAAAATGAGTGGCAGTCTTTGGAACGATTTCCCATGGAAACAAAAATTCCAAAGGTGATTCCACAGCTACTCATTTTTGATCACATAGTACACTGTGTGCCATTTTGTAAATTATGAACACAAACACGTGCGCTCGCCTATGCACTTGCTATAAAAATGCATAAGCTACTAAAACAGTTGCAAGCAAGTCTAACCTGCAAAGTGTACTGTTCACATTACTGAGAGTATACGGTGTTCACACTACAGAGTGTTCACATTACTGAATGTTCATATAGGAGCATGTTCAATAAATGCGAGGCTACTATTATGTATTTTAAAGAAAAAATAAAACCAAAAACGGAAAAGACAGACAAATGGATGAACAGAGCGAGAATTTTGGTTTTTTTGAAATGCATCTATGTTTATCTACCAGCTCTAATAAGCCTAATTAGGACTTGGTTTGAGCTATAATTTTTACGAATCCAAGAATCAATGCTTGATTATATCAGACATTATTATTGATAGTTTACCCTTTTAACAAAACATATTGCATGCTTAAGTTGGAAATGGTTGCCATTATAAAAGATTGGTTACATAACCTTTTTTTCGGCTGTAATAGGAAAAATACCTAATATTCCCATTTAGGTAAATAAAATAGCTTAAATTGGCATAATTTGGAAAGTCATACATGAAACCAGTGAATAGGTTCTAATTGAGCTAAATTGCAGGTACGGATTATTCCCGATTATGTCGGTGTTTCTTTTGTTAAAGTGCATTTTTTCAGAAGTTTGCCATGTATCGCAATTGTTTCAAAAAACCGCTCGCTCTACTTTTTGTACAAATTGAACAGACGTCAACGGTGTTGATTTTTGAAATTTTTTTTGTAAAATTATTTTGTCAACTCTCATTTAAACTTTGTTCAATAAATGTTTTTCTGATCTCTATTAAATATCAACAAACGTCAACAATAACAAATCTTCTATGTAAAAAAATCTCTTTGCAAATCGCAAAAGTTAAACAATTGCAAGTTCCAACAACAAGCCGATTAAATTCTGAGAAAACGTTCAAAGGAAAAGTTCAAGCTTCAAAAGCAAACACATCTCCGATAATTTTGAGTAGATAAAAACGCCTTGTAACGTGATTGGTTTAATAAATGGGTGTAATAAAGGAAACAACTACGTCAAAGTGTGACCTTTAGCACTAACAATCTGTAATTATTTCGCGGTACCATACCCGAAAAAAAAACACGAAAATATTATTTTATATATCCAAAACACAATGATTTTCCTTCGGATGTTCCTATAGGTCGAATCTCCCCAAAATATATTTTCAAATTATCAGTCACTTGTTAAATTGAGCATACAGCACAATGTAATAATGACCATACATCATCATTAAGCATAGTAAACAATATATAACGGTGAAAAACATAGCGTAATCATTTCGATAACAATAGTGACGTCAATAACGGATTTTTCGTTTTATTTTCTGATAGTGCGCGCAATCGCTAAGTGCAAAGCTAATTTTAATTAAATCCTTTTATTAATAATCTCCGAGAATGACTCGTTACTTTTAGAATTTTAATCGATAGCACATCACGTACTCAAAAATTGCAACACAATCGTGATAGGATACTGAAATCTAAATAATCGCCTCTTGGTCAAAAGGTACGTGACCAACGAGACGTATCTTGAAAATGGCACTTCTGCACGCCTCGTATTTTTTCGAAAAAAAACCAAAATGTTTCGTTTGGGACGATTTTGGAATTGAAATTAAACACGATTCCATTTCCTATACAATAGGGATGTTACGGAAGTGGTTATACAGGGTGGGCCATTAGTGTGTGAGTGGAAGATTGTGGGTTTATTAATGCCCATATTTAAAATTTATTGTCGGTGCATGTTCGTAAAAATAGTTTCAGTGAAATTACAATTGTTATACAGGGTGATTTGCTGGAGGTTGCAAGACCCGCAAAACTCCATACAATTACACAAACCCAGATCCTGCATTTCTCATAAAAATTTTTCGTTGGGACTTGCATTTTTTTCCCAAAAAAAGAATGACTTAAAAATCTGCAATTCTTCCAGCATCTAATAGTCTAATTTCCCCGGACTGTATAACGAGCATTCTACTTTGTACCGTTACTAGACAAAGGCGTTGAGTGAATACGACAAAGGCATAATTTACGAAAGTCATACCCTCGTCAGTTCAAAGGACAAAAGTTAGGATGAGAAAGAATATAAAAACAGTATGATCGACTACGACATTTTTCAAAATGAGAGGCAGAAATACCGGCCAATATACACACACCTACAGTTTGGCAACAATAAAGGAAACAATGGAAGATGAAATTTGAATAATATTGGCCCATATTACGCCTCTTTTCGCATTTATCAAATTGAAGCTACATACAGGTATTCAAAATAGAATTAAAAGCTTTATTTTAAAGCTTTGTTTATAATCAACACACGTGCTGACGATTTTGCAATTAAATGTAGTTCATTTTCCAAAATTGGATACTATTTTTACGCCAAAATGTTGGAAGCCTCTGGTTTTTTTCGAATTGACTTGAGCTTTTTTTCCGATTTATGCCACTTACACGCGGAGAGGTTCATCTTTTATTTATTTATTGCTGGGAAAAGAACCACAGTCCTTTGTAATCATTGAATAAATTTGTAATGTAATATAATAATTTAAGCGGAAAAAACCGGTGCAATTATCTCGACAAAAAACGTACAGAGACGCTGACAGATGTAACCGAATAAACTGAAGTTTCATTTTCCTAACCGAGGCCTGAAACATTAATGTACGCATGGCAACACTGTAACGTTTTTTTTTTCGAAAATATAAATTAGCAATTTTCACTTTTTTTTTAAAACGACAGTCCGTTTTGAAAATAATCCGAGAAATAATCATTTAATTATGGTGTTGACTTTATCACAATGCAAATATTAATAAAAAACATCAGGTAAAAAACATTGATATTAGGAGGGCGTTTTTTAAAATAATCTCCTGAGCTATGATAACGACCTCCCACAAACAAAATGCTTGGCTATCAAATAACTGCTAGTGTAGTAGATGTAATTTGTATTTTTTGTGAGCAAACTTTACTAACACTAAAAAGGGAAACGATCACATGCGACAAAAAGTGGGTGTTTTACTGGGACCTTCCCACAGAATAGGAATTAATGCAGTGGGTCCCAGTGGCGTATTTACGGGGGGGGGGGCTATTAGGTATTTAGGTAATACTCCGCTATCCACTCCGCCCACTTTAAAATAAAGGCAATAATATATAGGTATGTATATATAG